GAATTATCCATAGCTAATGCAATGTCATCAACGTATCTAACATAGAATACAGGTGTCAAGGATAATTTTCTAAGGCAATCTGACTCCAAATCTTGCATCACAATGTCTGCTAAGATGGGAGATAGTGCAGAGCCCATAGGTAAATCAAAAGATTGTCTATAATATTTGACTGTTTTTAACTCATATCATCATTTGAGATAGGGACAATTAATGAGGGTGTTAATGTATTGAAAAGGACCTCAACCAAAAAGGTCGAAACGTATACTTGTGTATTGTACTATATTGTACATCCATGTAATTTTAATTTTCACATTAAAATCTAGTGTTGGCTCATAAAGGCTTGTTGTGAGTGTTGTTTGATTTAATCTGGTGAGCCTTGAAAGAATATTTTTATTTTTACATAAATTATAGTCTCTTTATCAAAACCGAGCTGTATAGATTTTAGTAAATAAATAAAAAGGTCTTTCATTCTCGGAAAAAACAAACAAACATGTAGCTAGATTATCTAAATTACTAAAAAAAAAAACTAATTAAATAAAGGTAGCATCTTTGTTAAAAAAAGTATCTCATGTTTTTTAATACTTTTCTTGTAAAAAATTTTGTGAAAAATATTTTTTGAAAACTTAAAAAATATTTTATATTATTTTTCATTTCATTATAAGACAATGAGTAAAATAATAAAAATGTATTATATTATAACGTATAAATTTGAATTTTTTATGCAGTACACGTCTTTAATTGATCAATGGTCTTAAAACTTTTAGTCGACAGTGTAGATGAGACAAAAAGTAACATCATAATCCTGCATTGTAAAAGTTGACGTTTATATAAAGAGTGATTTGTCGTAAAAAGCTCAGTCATTTTTTATCTGTAACTCAAACGATACTATAGTGATATTGTGAATATCAAAACCAGATATAATCAATAGCATGAACAAAAAAATTATATATTAATTATATATTAATAAATATATAAAATACGCATAACATTTTTCTAGATTATTTGAGAAAATAATAAAAACCATGGATAGCGAAGAAACATGTAGATCGTGGAATGATATTGATTCCGGCGAGCAGATAGTTATATCTGGTATTGCTGGCAGATTTCCTGATTCAGATAACATGAATCATTTACGAGAAAACCTGTTCAATAAAATTGATCTTGTTAGAGCAGATCATGGCCGGTGGGAAAAAGGTGATTAATTCATATTTCACATACAATAATACATTATATTTTTATATTTAATCTTGATTTGTAGATGGCAGGGAAAGTTACTTTATAAAAATAGCTGTTTATCGTTACCGTTCATTTTTTTGAAAAATAACTTGTTATCGTTATTCAAGAAAGTTGTTACAAATAATATGTTGCATTCGTTTGTCTCTAGTTGCGATAAAGAACTATATTCGTTTGTCTTTATGTGCGATAAAGACCTACAGTGTCTATAATATATTACATTTGTTGTCTCTGTAAGTTATAATTCTATTAATTTTTGGTTGTTACTTGTTTTTTAATTTACATGCAATCAGTTTCATGTGATTAATTACGTTGACACAGTTTGACCGTTAATCCATGGACACTATGTACATACACCTACATTGCTTTTAATTCTGAGACATTGATAATTTTAGCTAATTGACTCCATCATTTTTCGCTAGTAACCGAAGAATTGGCTTCCAAAAAACTGGACTTCATTGACATACTTTGACTTCATGACTGTTAATTAAGGAGCTTTATGGTGTATTCACAAAACAAAATGTAAAGTTGTAACAGAAAGTGAGATGAAGTTCTCATAATTATTGCGATATTTTATTAAAATATAGAAAGTTAATTGAATTTATACACAGCTGGGAAAGGCTAAGTAAAGCTCGAAACATTCTGTAAAAATGCCATTGTAGAATAATAAAACATGTTTTTCTTTATCGGTCATCTTAACATTGCTCGTTTAATAGACTTTGTATTTTAATTTGTTATTGCTTAGCAGATTCTACGAGCGTGTAATAAAAACTTTAGGAAACAAATTTCTTTACTTTTTCTCCAAATTTTTAATGATTTTTTTTATAGAGACATTCAGTTGTTTATGTCGCTAATTAATCCAGTTCAAAATCTACAGCAGGCCCGGAACCGGGTTGCACATTTCGAACGATTTTACCTACCGTCATCCCTACTCCTTTTGTTTCATAACATTTAAGGGGCACACAAAAAAATTTAAGCAACAAAACATAAGCAGCAAGTGAATTGACCAATCACAGTAGAGTCCGTAAGGCTACAACGTAAGCAGTAGCCAATCCAACATGTTGATTTCCTTACTGACTTAAGGGGATCCTAAAGACGTCTGTATTACCGACTAAAGCATATAATTTTTGTATAACAAATACTTTTTTTCTCTTTCATAGATTCGAAAATCCTTTTCCAGGATTAAAGTATACGCATTAATATATATTTGTGAGGCGGAATTTATGCCGAGAATGACCAAAAATTTCGAAATTGATATATTTTTTACCATTATTTATATTATTAGTGTAACATGGCTTCTCAAGCTGTCAAGTCGTGACAACATTTGCTTGATACGAAAGTTTTGCAACCTGTACTTACGAAATAGTTATCCACAAACACGTAGTTTACACATGAACAAATAATGTCGAGTTCTTAGAATTAGACTTAGACGCTTTATCGCCACGAATTTGTTATACGAAAATTAACATGAATGTGCGACTGAATGTATCATAGGTTGCATGAGATATTGATGTGGTAGTATATAAAGACATGTCGATGCGCTGGAAAAATAGCGACATCTAGTGACTTTGTCGGAGTTCAAGCTTCGATTTAGGATTCCCTTAAGTTTTTTTGTGTGCCATGGCATGGCCGTTAGACTGCGCACTGAGGATTTTGAAACATATTGTCCCGCTGTTTATTATTATTATTATTAATATTTAGATGTTAGAAAATCAAAAGTAACACTTCAAAATAAAATAAGCATGTTAACTAAGTGTGTACATTGAAAAAAAATCTTAATTTCAAAAAAATTTTAATTGATTTAAAAAATATTTTAAATATTAAATATTTTTAAATATATATAAATGTATATATAAATATATATATAAATATATATATGTATAAGTACATAATATATATAAATATAGAGGAAAGGCCCCTATTATGAAATACCGAGTTCATTTTGGGTAAATACTAGAAATCCAGAATGGGCAGAATTTAAAAAAATAATAGGTCATTTTGAATTTAATAAGCTTTAAGATAATGTTATGTAAAATTTAATTCAAATTCTATTTTTTTTAAATTAAAGAAATGTAAAAAGTGAGCAAATCGCAAAGTCAAAAAATTGTGCTCCTAATATGAGATGCCCCCAGAAGTCGATAATAAAGCGCAAAGTACTTTATTATCGACTTATACTCAGCATTAACATTGTAATTAAAAAAACTTAATGTTTCTAAAATATAGTCAAACAAACATAGCCAGTGCGCGCGCAAAATGATTATACGATGCATTGTACCTAGAATTTGTCTTCAGGTAGTTGGAACCAAACATCACAGAAACAGGTACTCGATGTTCATTCCGATTGTCCTTTTTATTATAGTACAATAACATTTATACTTTAGCAATGATTTTCACTATGACATAGGAGCATAGATTATTTCATATTAGAGATACTCTGGAGATATCTCATATTATGATTTCCACGCCTTACGGTTTTACGACCATCAAATCTAACTTCTATAATTAAGCAATTTAACATATCCCGTATTTTTCTATTAATACGATCTTACTCTATATGAAGAATTTATTACCAAGTATTCACTTATTAAATAATAAACAAGGTTTAAAGGCACATCTCAACGAAACTTGAAGACATCCAAATTCTAAAATCTTTTTACTACAGTTACAGGCATGATCTAATAATGAATTTTCCACTAAATAGTTTTCAATCCAAGAGCAATAAATTCGTGGTGGAATAGATAGCGTTTATTAATTTAGCGGAAACGCCGCTATCTCATATTAGGCACTTATCTCATAATAGGGACTTTTCTCTATATATACAGGGTGTTTCATTTTAAGTGATGTAGTCGATTATCTCGCGAATCGATGATTTTATTGAAAAATTTTTTAAATGAAAGTTGCATGGCTTGAAGGGGAATACATGATGGAAATGTGGACTTGACCTTAAGTGACCTTGTCCAAAACACTATAATAAAGTTACTTTTCATTAAGTACTTGTTAAGTTATAAGACAAGACCGATCACTGATCCGGCCGATTAACAGATGAGATACATGGATAACGCCGGCGGTATTGTAACTTTCAAGCTCCATAACTCAGAAAGTACTTAACGAAAAGTAACTTTATTATAGTGTTTTGGAAAGCTCTCGAGATAAACTACAAGAATATATGTAATAAAAAATAGGGGTTTCCATTTAAAAAAACATTAATGACCTTGACCTGATTTTGACAAGATCACTCAAGGTCAAGTCCACATTTCCATTATGTGTCCCCCTTCATGTAATTTTCGTTCGAAAAATTTTTCAATAAAATCGTCGATTCGAGAGATAATCGACCATATCACTTAAAATGAAACACCTTGTATATAAAATGTATATAAATATATATTTTTAAATATATTTTGAAAAATTACTTTTGCTTTTCTAACATCCAAATAATATTAATAATAATAATAAAACTCTGTAAACAGTGAACGCGGGGCAATGTTCGCGTTCAGCAGACTCAACTATCGCGGAGCGAATTCGTGAACGCTTGCTGCTATTGGATCATTTAAAAGAATACACCAATAGCAGCGAGCGGAGCGCTCACGGATTCGCTTCGCAACAGTTTCTACGATCAATGGACGCATTCAAGTCGACAAAGTGGGTAGGTCTACTCGCCGAGTAATTAAACATGATTGGTTGGATCCACAGGTAAGAATCAATCATGTTCATTCGCTCGGTAAGCATGCCTAACCGCTTTGCCGTCTTGAACTTGCCCAATATGTTACAAAGTCCTATAGCCCTATAGTGTCCTGTATGATTTACAGCTTTATAGCTAATATCGTTCCTCTGAACTTGATCGTTCTATATCTCTGCGTAATCTAAATGCTATGAAACAAAAGGAATAGAGATGACGATGGGCAAAATCGGTCGAAATGTGCAACTCGGTTCCAGGCTTGATCTATAGTGTAATTATGGTTAATCAAAATATTATCAAAAAACTCGTTTATGCACTTTTTATGTATACATGACACATGTCATGTATATGACAAAACGATAAAAATAACGATTGTTTTCGTCACCATCATCCCATAAATGTAATTGCATTACCATTAACGTTACAAATAAGAAAATGTACATTGTTATTGAAAAAAAAGTAATTAAGTAATTACCGATAAAGATATTATACAAAAGTAACGCGTTACTTCTTAACGCAGGTAGACAGAATATGCCACTCCTTTTGCGTGTCAACTGTAATTACATATTTAATATGTCGTCAAAATGTTTTGAGAATTATTCTTTTTACATATAAATTTATTCAGAAACGGTGACAAATATTTCAAGTAAACATCATTATAATCAATTCATTGTTCTAAACTCTAAATATCAAAGTCTTTGAATTCGTGTCCGACATTCAGTATTGATTTTGCATCGTTTGATTACGATCTATTTTGCTTAATGAAATATTTATTTAGGGTGATAATTCAAAGAAGAATCTATACTTCTAAATTTTTTGCGTCTCAGAAATCTGAATGGACATCCAAGATTAAATCCTGCAGCTAGAAGGCTGTTAGAGTCCAAAGAGAGCTGCATTAGCGACTCTGATAGCGCGCGTGTTGCGGACTCGATTACCGACATTACTGACTCGCTCGGCGAGCGCGCCGCGCGCCCCGAACTACGTTAGTCTTAAATTACGTACGCTGTTGTAAACTTCGCTTGTGCACGCATCTATTTTGTATCCGTAGAGTTTCATTAAAGTTAGTTAGTTAGAACCGACTGCAAGTTTTTTTCTATCCGAACACAGGCTGCTAGCAAAAAGTTATTAAACATGTCTTTATTTTCAGGAATAATTGTTTTTAAATAAATTTGTATGTAAAAATCGTTTTTGTACAAAAAACTAAAGCGTAATTCGGAACTTATTTAACAACCTAAAGAATTTTAATCAAAGAATGTAAAATCTAAAATTAAATATAAATTCCAAAATTAAAATGACGTATAAAAAGATGAACAAAAAATAGAATATATTTGTATAAATACATCTATGTTTTATTAGACAATCCGGAATTACCAAAACGTATTGGAATAATTAACAATATGGAAAAATTTGATGCGGATTTTTTTGGATTATCTTTCAAGCAAGCACACACACTGACGTGCGAAGCGAGAATGTTATTGGAGCATTCTTATGAAGCAATTATCGATGCAGGAATAAATCCAAAGCAATTACGAGGGAAAAATACTGCTGTTATTATAGCGACATCTTTTATTGAAGTGCAACAAAAATTTTTATACCAAGATTTTCAGGTAAAATAGATTATTGATATATATAACAATTGTATTACTTTATATATATATAGAATATATATATTGTATATATATGTATATACATGTGTATATACAGGGTGTCCCGAACAATGTTCAAAAGGAGATTCCTGAGATTATTTTGAGACGAAAATTCTAATACCAAAATGTTGAGGCTATAATAATTTTTGAATTATAATTGGTTATAGTGTGTAATTCGAAAACTAGCCTCGATATTTTTGTATTAGGATTTTCATCTTAGAATGTTCAAAAGAATCCAGAAATAATAAAGCTATAGAAATAATAGAGACTATAAAGTAAAATGTATATAACAATTATAAACATTTAAAGTTAGCTTATAATTCAAAAAATTGTTGTAGCCTCGACATTTTAGTATTAGGATTTTCGTCTCAAAATAATTTCAGGAATCTCCCTTTAAGCGTTGTTTGGGTCTTTACGGGACATCCTGTATATACATAAGTATAGTAACAAATGATTGCTGAATTTATTATTTATGCTGAAATTGTAATCCGTAATGTTCTGCAATTAGTTAAGTGGTGCGAATCTCATTGGATGTAGTAAATCTACAACAGCAAATGCAATTTCCTACTACTTGGATCTGAAAGGACCATCTTATACCGTCGATACTGCATGCAGTTCTAGTCTTTATGCCATGGCTATTGGTTATGAATGTATCATGTCGGGCAAATGCGAAGACGCAATAATTGGAACGGCAAATTTATGTACTCATCCTGTTGTAAACATGCAATTCGGTCGATTCGGTATTTTTATTATAAATTATTATTACTTAGTATTTTTATTTAAAAAAAATTAGTCTAATATATAATGTGAAATTAGTCTAATATATAATGTGAAATTTAGAGTATCACTTTTCTTTCATTCATAAAAAGTAAATGTCAACGGATTATGTAACATTGACAGAAACATTGAAATAAAATATTTGCCAATTTGCCAAATTGAATATTATTTTATCACATTAATAAAACTGATAAAATTTAATTTTTGAGTTAATCGATTATATATTAAAACAACTTCCTATTAAATTCATTTTATATTAAACACATTATATATTAAGTTAATACATTAAATATATATGTATACTATATTTTATATCTTTTAGGAATTTTATCCCCCACTGGTTACTGTAGACCATTTGATATTGCCGCAAACGGTTATACGCGTAGCGAAACGGTAGCAGTAGTATACCTTCAAAAGGCAAAAAATGCAAAGAGGATTTATGCCACATGTCCGTATATTAAATTAAATAGCGATGGTTATACAGAAGAAGGAATAACATATCCATCAATGCTTATGCAAAGTACTTTATTAATGGAATTTTACAAGGAGTGCGGAATACCGATGTCTTGCTTGGATTACGTTGAAGCACACGGTACCGCTACCAAAGTTGGCGATCCTCAAGAACTCACTGCTATCTATAATGTTATGTGTAAAAATAAAAAATCTCCATTAATGATTGGCTCAGTAAAATCCAACGTTGGTCATGCCGAAGCTGCGAGTGGTTTAACTCAGATCGCTAAGGTAAAATATGTATATATACAGTTTCCGGCTTTAATTATTATAAAATTTGCTTTTATTTTCTGCACAGCCACACATATATACACATATGCACATAAACATAAGAAATGTTATTTTTAAAAAATTCGATAATTCAAGACACTCGAACACAAAGATGTTTATGAAAATATTGCAAAAATCTTTTATTAAATTCGATATTGGCTGAAACTAACATAATAACATCTTTACTATATGGCTAGTCAATATTTAATAAATTAATTCAAATTACATCTTGAAACTGTTATACCCAATTAATACACATCTTTAGGTCATTCGTGTTCTGTGCATTTCTTTTCTTTGAAATACTAAGAGCATCTGATAGTCAAATACCAGTCTCTTTTCTATTCCTAAAAAAAGTTTGGCATCTAGAAAACACAAGTTTTATGCGTTGCCGGCTTCAATTCATGCGTATCCTTTACCTGGCATAACTTCGAAGTTCACCTTTGGGTCACAAATGACCCAATGTGTGTACAGGATATACATTTTTTGTAACAAAAAATTTTTATTTTTTTCTTTATTTTCAACTAATTCTCGGTATTGCAGGAATATTTCGCGAATTATTAAAAAAAGAATTTAACTCTAGAACAATATATTAGCCTTTAATAAACACGATTTTTGGCATCTTTATGCTAAATGATGTCAGTAATATTATATATTTGTTGTCTGTAATGTTATAAAGAACATTTTTCTAATAAATTATAAGTTTTTTTAACACAATAGCAATAATAAAATGCATTGTTTAAAATGTAAATGCAATATATCTTCAATTTATAGCTATTCATGCATATTAAAAAAAACATTATTTTCAGTTTACTCAATAACCAAATTTTTTGGACAGCTGACACTTGAACTATTTTTTTTCTTGTAGTTTGGAATGTAAATTTTAAGATTATATTGAACCATATTTTTCCTTTAAACATTTTTGTTTCAAAGTTTTACATTTTTATATGAAATAGTGCACTTTTCTCATTTTGTTAAGTATATTTAATTATAATAATTTATCCACAATTTGTTATGAATATACAACTGTACACAAATACATTTTAAAGATGTCAAAATATACGTAAAAATCGTTTAATAATTTTTATATACTGGTAAAAGTGATGAAAATTAATTCAGAACACGAATGACCGAACATAGTTAAGGGTGCCCAAAACTAAGGTGCGTATTAAGGATTAATTATTGTAGGTAATAATAGCATTCGAAACCGGTTTTGTTCCACCAAATATCCATTATACATCGCCAAGGAAAGATATAGATGCCTTATTAAATGGAAACATTCGAGTCATACAAGAACAAATGCCACTCAAAAACGGTTATGTAGGAATCAATTGTTACGGTTTTGGAGGATCGAACGCTCATATGTTATTAAAGTGGAATCTTAAACAGAAAGTTAATAATGGAAAATCGAATGATGAATTGCCTAGACTTGTAATATTATCTGGACGTACTGAAGAATCAGTAAAATTGTTTATAAATGATGTTAGTAGATATTTGCTTTTTCAATATTACACTCGTCAACAAAATTATCGCATAGATAAATTTACATCTAAATTTCGCATAAATTCAAATAAGTGTAACTCCGCGAAAAATGGTCGCATTTAAAAGTTTTTTTTTCATTTTCAAGGGTAAAGTCTGTATTTTACGAAACTTTTAATGGATTTTGAATCTACTCTTGTGTCTACCTGGCATCTTTTAAAAAATAAGGACGCGTTTTTTTAAGAAATTTGCATAGTTTGACACACTCTACAGGGTGGAGTAAATCTTTTTCGTAAATGTCATGATAATTATCGTAAAATATGGACTTTTCTCTTACAAATTAAAAAAATTAAGCTTTGTACGATTTTTTTTCGAGGAGATACAGTGTATTAAACTTACCTATGCATTTTATTCAATTACCGTCAGCATTAGTATTACCCGATGCGCACTACGGGGAGGTCGCTGGTCCGATTTTGCGCGCGCGCGCATGCTTTACTATTCCACTACACGTATGTATCACGAAATAACCACTAAGTCTTTTACACGTCCTACATTAATCATTTTATGTAGATTATAATTTATGATGGCGTTACTTACAGTGACAAATCGATTCAACTCACAATAAATTCATTAATATTAACAGTAAGAAGCTGAAATCATAACACAATACTAATATAACATAAAGGCATGTAACAGAGTAGATACGGGAAAATTACCCCCACTCCTTCTATTTTTTCTGACTTCTGCGGCGTAAATCCCAGCGCGGCGTATTTGCCAGAGTTACCCTACATGCATTAGAAATTCCACAATCTAAGATCACTGGAAGCGTTCAGCAAAAAAAACTGTGTAATTGTAAAATTCTTTAATATGATTGATTTGCATTTAGATCCAGTGAGGGAAAGACCAATCATGTTATAGAATTTTGCAACAGCAAAGCTGCTTTTTTTCTGCAGAATGAAATCAATCGACAATCACATATAAAATGGAATTATGACTATATTGCCGAGGAAATGTATCTGAAAAATGTATCTGAAAATCAATTCAGATGCTGTGTTTTTATCTAAATACAGATACAAATATTCGAATTTTAATATACCTCAGATACAGGTTAGATACACAAAATGTATCTTTATACATGTATCTCTATGTATAGAGATACTACCCAACAGTCCCAATACTGTCAACTGAAGGAACCGTCAACAAATCTGCAGCAATTGGAAGCAGCATTGCATCGAATATGGTGGGAAATTCCGCGAACTTCAATTAGAGCTTGCATCAATATGCGTGCACGTTTACAAGAGATCATCCGAAGACGAGGCGGAAATACACAATTTTAAAAACAAATATACCACCACATGCCTCCACCTCCCCCCCCCACACACACACACACACGCACGCACGCAAAATTGGACCGGCAACCTCTCCGTGGTGCGCATCGTGTAGTTAATGCTAATACTGGCGATAATTGAATAAAATGCATAGGCAAGTTTGATGCATGGAATCTCTTAAAAATGTACGAAGCTTAATTTTTTTTTAAATTTATAAAAGAAAAGTCCATACTTTATGATAGTTATCATGACATTTACGAAAAAAATTTACTGCACCCCGTACAGTGCATCAAACTATGCAAATTTCTTAAAATAAAAAAAATACGTTTATATTTTTTAAAAGATGCCAGGTAGATAGATTCGATGTAAGGGTAGATTCAAAATTCATTGAAAGCTTCGTAAAGTACAAACTTTACCCTTGAAAATGAAAAAAAAGAAAGACTTAAATGTGATTTTTCGCGGAGTTACGCTTATTTGAATTTATGTGAAATTTTGATATAATTTTATCTATGCGATAATTTTGTTGACGAGTGTATTTTAAATAATTATAGGTATTATGTCGTAGTTCCTATTTCAAGAAATTTATCGTTATAGATTGCTAATCGTCCGATAGATGTAGAATATATCCGTTTACTACATGATATCTATGCAGACAATATAGATGGTCACCCATGGAGAGGATACGCTGTATTGAACATTCCGCAACAAAATTTAGTAAAGGAAATTCAAAAGTGTAATAGCATGAAAAGACCCGTTTGCTTTGTATTTTCAGTTTTAGGATCACAATGGCCAGGAATGGGTATGTATTTAATATTTTATAATTTATTTATAAGGGGATTTAAATGATAAAATACTCTCTAAATTTCGTGGAGTCTCACTCGAAGAGACTGAAAATTGAGTCTTGAAAACAAGAGTGAAAATACTATCACTGTTGTTCAAGAATGGTAGATTTTCACTCTTTTTATAGTGAGATTTACTCTTTTGAAATGAAATTCATTCCTTCGGAATCTTATTTGAGTGAATCTCATTTCAAAAGAGTAAATCTTATTTTAAAAAGAATGAAAATCTTGAGCAAGAGTGGTCGTATTTTCACTCTTTTTTCAAGACTGACTCAATTTTCAGTCTCTTCGAATGAGATTATACTCCACGAGATTTAGAGAGAAATGAAATTTTTTAACTAAAACTTTATCAGGTCGAAACTTATTAAAATTTCATGTTTTTGTAAAAACAATAAAAAGATGCGACAATATTTTAAAACCATATGATATAAGCGTCAAAGACATTTTGACAAATACAGACGAAAAAGTTTGCAAAAGCGCATTAAACGCGTTCCTTGGAATCATCGCCATTCAGGTAAAATATTATATTTCAAACATATATGCATCAGTATTAATTATATTGTTAGTGAAGAATATATATAAATATTTAAATATATACATATCGTTATTTCACTCCATTAAATCTAACATGTTACTAAATTTATCTCATTATATCTTATTATTTCATCCGTAATAAATTTTTAATATACACAATGCCCAGCTATAAATTTGTATATGTTTGTAGATCGGCTTAGTAGATCTCCTGACTTCTTTAGGAATTAATCCGGATTACATGATTAGTCATTCGGGCGGTGAACTCGGATGCGCGTACGCAGATGGATGTCTCACCACTGAACAAACTATTTTATCAGCATACTTTATCGGTTTGACATGTGTCAAAGAAAAAGAAATTCATAGTTCAATGGCAGTTGTCAGTATCGGTTACGATTGTCTTAAAAACATATGTCCAACGGACATTCAAATAGTATGCCGCAATAGCGAGAATAACAGCGTTGTTAGTGGACCTATAGCATCCATACAAGAATTCATGAAAAAATTACAGGTAGATTTGAAAGTAGGACTTATATTTTCTAAATGATTGGAAAAATTTACTTAATAGTTATTAAAATATCGAATCGTTAAATTCAAGATATAATTTCCTTCAAATGTACGTATTGCATTTTTGTATCAGGTGAATAACATTTATGTGAAAGAGATCTATTGCAACATACCGTATCATAGTTCGTATCTCGCATCCGCGAAAACTCAACTTTTGCTTAATTTGAACAAAATAATCCCCCGACCAAAGAAACGAAGCCCAAAGTGGATCAGCACTTCCATACCTCGTACCGAATGGGTTAATTCAGCATCAAAATTATCATCGGCGAACTATCATACGTGTAGTATATTAAATACTGTTCTCTTTGAACAAACATTGCCTCTAATTCCAAATAATGCTATTACTATCGAACTCGCACCATACGGTGTTCTGCAGCACGTATTGAAAAAATCTTTGCATCCAGAAGTGACAAACATTGTATTGACTCAATGCACTGAACAAAACAAAGACGTAATTTTTCATGCAATTGGAAGGCTCTACAACTATGGCTTACAGCCGCAAATTGCGAATTTATATCCACCAGTGGAATATCCAGTCAGTAGAGGAACTTCTATGATTTCTCCATCGATCAGGTACAAGAAATTACCGTAACTATAATCTAATTGTTATTTATATAAACAAATAGATATGCATATACACTACACTAAAAAATTGAAATATTACCTCTTCCGTTCTCCAAAAATAGACAATCATTAAGAAGGAGAGAGAATAACTTCGTAAAAAATGGTGACAGTGTAATCCGCAAAGCATTTTAAAGTTTGATGTCTCAACTTTTCAGATTAATAATTTAGATAATAATGTTTTTCAAAATCTTCGAATGACATCGAAATTTAGAAGTTTTAATTTAAATTTTTACAATACGAGAGTTACACTTATTTAAATACAATTTTAAATAAAGGGAATAGTCGAATTGACATGGAATTACTGGTCTATATTTATTTTGTGTACATATACATATATACAGGGTGTATCTGAAATAACGTATACTAATCATATAATGCTATTCCTAATAAAAAATTGAACCGAAAAGTCCTCTACCATTTTGCAATTTTCGCAATAGTTAACAAGATATTAATTACCAAAAATCGCTGAATATTGGTCTTCAATAATTTTTTATTCAAATACTATCAACTTTACAAAAAAACAGCGAAAGACAAAAATTGTTTATTTTCTTCTCATAAAGTTCTGAGAATTTTTTCAGAATTTTTTAATACCGTATTTTCTCATGTTGGTAAAAATAAAAAATGCAGTACTAAAAAATTCTGAAAAAATTCTTAGAATTCTATGAGAAGAAAATAAACGATTTTTGTCTGTTTAAGTTTTTCTAAAGTTGATAGTATTTGAATAAAAAATTATTCAGCGATATTTAGTAATTAATATCTTGTTAACTATTGCAAAAATTGCAAAATGGTAAAGGACTTTTCGACTTGTTAGTTTTTTATTAGAAATAGTACTATATGATTAGTGTACGTTATTTCAGATACACTCTGTATGTGTAGCTTTATAACGAATAATCCATCTCAATTTAATATCTAGGGTTGGGTAGTGCTAAGTTAAAAAGATAAAAGTTAAGTTAAAAAGTTAAAAAGTTAATTAATTTTAACTTAACTTAATTACATTTTAGACTTTTAACTTTTTAACTTAATTTAGTTACATTTTATCAGTAACTATTAACTTTTAATTTGAAGTCAATTCTCAGACACAATGCTAGAGTATAATGAGTGTATAATTTAGTAATTTTATATTGTATAATCGTTACTTGTGAACAAAAATAACCAGAGTCTTTAATAAATATGAAGTGAGAAAGGAAAAATACGAAATATCATGTAAAATGGTCAAACTTTTTCTTTTTCTTTGTTTTTGGTTGTTCGTTCGGACCAAATTTAACTTTTAACTTTTCAATTATTTTTTTTTATTAATTTAACTTTTAATTCAATTAATTTCATTATGGATTAACTTGTATTTTAATTAAGTTAAATTCAAGGCTATTAACTTTAACTTAACTTAGTTAAAAAAAAAGTTAACTTACCCAATTCTGTTAATGTCTCATTAGATGGGACCATTCCCAGGATTGGTTTATTCCATGCTATACAACACAAAAATCCATAAAATCCAGAGAAAGATATGTCGACATTTCACTCAACGATCAAGATTATGATTATATGAGTGGTCATGTAATCGACGGAAGAAACTTGCTACCTGCGACAGGATACCTTGTACTTGTTTGGCAAACTATTGGAATGATAAAAGGACAAATGCATACAACAATACCAATAACTTTCCGAGATGTAAATTTCGTTCGTGCTACTCATTTATCGAAAAATACTGTAAAATTGAAAATTGCGATACAGAAAGGTATTAACTAAATTTAAAGTAACATAATCATAAGAATGCATATAACCGAATATATAAAAATATTACAGATGGAAAGTTTGAAATAACCGAAGGAGATAGTGTTGTCGTGACAGGTACAGTATACGAGATGTTGAATCCAGAACAAGAAATGATTACGACAGATCTATTACTGCAGAATAATGAAGAAGAACACATGACAGCACGAGATATCTACAAAGAGTTCAAATTGCGCGGTTACCAATACAGCGGCTGGTTCCGTGGATTAATGAGTGCCTCTATTTCAGGAAATCAAGGACACATCATTTGGAGAAATAATTGGGTAACATTTATGGATATTATGTTACAGATGCAAATTATTGGATACGATACTAGGGATTTGTATGTTCCTACGAGTATCCAAAAATTAATTATCAATCCCATGCTTCACGCTAGAAAGCTACAAGACTACACAAATGGCGTAAAAGATATAATAGAAATGGATAAACGTAACTATTCATCAATTACTAAGAATTATTTGTTCAATATATAAATATCATGTAAAAAAATCTCCCTCTAACATAAAGCATCCTATTACAGAATTACCGATACGAATATATAAAGAGATAAACACGATTAAAGCTGGAGGAATAGAAATTCAAGGTCTTAAAACTACGCAGATTTCTCGCCGGAAATTAGCTCAAGATGCAGTTATCGAGGAATATACGTTTGTAGCTCATTGTGATCGTGCTAAGATTTCTTTAAACAAAACGATTCGGATATCAGCCCAACTCATTTTGGAAGATCATCAAGTTAGCAATGTAAAAGCCATTGAACAAGTGGAAGATGTGGATGATGTCGAATTAAAAAATCTCTCATCTTCGTTGCTGCTTGAGGCATTTGATGATATTCCATTGATACAAACGAATGTCATTCTATTAACATCGCCGAATCGTTTTAATCCAGCAGACTTATCGCAAAACATTTCAATCGAAGATTACAAAAATCTATCGACAAATGATAAAGCCTTAATAATTGCTGGCTTTAATCTTTTGACCAAACAAACATCATTAGAGCGATTGTTGCCCTTTTTAAGAGAGGGTGGTTATCTGCTAACGCGTGAGAAATGTTGCATAACTGATTATAAACAATATTTGCAGCGATACGAATTAAACGTTATTCTCGAAAAACGTACTGATAAAGAAATGATTGTGCTTCTGAAAAAGAAAGTTTCGATAGAAAAAAGGACTATCGTCTACATAAACAATGATAATTTTAATTGGTTGGAAAATCTAAAGCTACTTGTGAGTGATAAAAATAACTTCGATAAAAATAGTAGAATTATAATTGTCGGAGAGGGAGATTTTGAATGTGGTTTGTTAGGTTTTGTAAACTGCTTAAGAAAAGAGTCAGGCGGAGAATATGTTAGAGGTGTTCTTATTCAAGATGAGGAGGCCCCTAAATTCTCTCTTCAAGATCCTTTCTACATACAACAATTAGAAAAAGATATGACCATTAATGTATTGCGATCTAATAAAACCTGGGGATCGTACAAATATTTAAAACTACAACGACCAGAAGCGAAACTTGTACCAACCGCTTATGTCTGCCAAACGGTATAAATCTTTTCAAAGCATATCATTATTAAATATATGATAAATGTTACGTATTTAATCTTTCGAATAATATCCAGATTTATTAATTTAGCGACGCGGTAGCGTCACGACGCCAAATGCATAAAAATATAAAACGGGTCGCTTGACGGGTCGCTTAACCGCTTGACGTGTGAACATCATTATGTTCATGACATTGAACATCGTATATGTTCGTGCCATTGCCAAATTCGCGACGCTATCACTAGCTTTATCTGGAGTTTATGACATCAACAAACTTTAGATTAAAATTACGCAGAAACTAAAACCGCAATCAATAATCTAAAAACATTTTTATTATATAATGTCGTCGATATCTTTCGATTGCGACCAGTCCGAATAAAATTGATGTAGCCCATACCGAGATCTGGAAATCGTGTCCCAAAGGGACCATTTCAGCTCTTCAAATTTTTCAGTCGTACGTGTGACACATATATATAAAGCTGTCCATAAAGCTGCTGTTTACAAAGCTTTTGGTAAATGTTGACAACGAAAGCAGCTCCGACTTTCTGGAAACATGCCCTTGACCTTGACATATGTTGTCAAGGTCATGATTCTGAGTAACCTCCAACAAGTTTTAGCCGTCGCTCGTCCTTCATTAAAAAGTTATTAACAAAAAAAGTTCAACTATATAATATGAAAATTTCCTGCTTTAAAATATGTTTGATAGTCGTGCATTGTAGGCGACGTCACTCCGACGACCGCGACGTTGACATATATCGTCAAGGTTATGACCCTGAAAGATCTCCAGCATGTTTTAGACGACTTTCACCCTCGATTCTCACTTTCCCTCCCCCCCTCGCAAAAGGGCGCACGATTCTCATCCACCCTCCCCCTTCGAAGGGACGCACGACTCTCACCCCTCTTGCCCCCGTGCAAAGGGGCGAACAATTTTCAACCCCGACTCTCACCCCCCCTCCTCCCTGCAAAAGGGTGCGCGACTCTCACTCCCGACTCTCATCCTTCCCCCTGTTTGGGAGTCATGTCTTTGTAGGGGGAAGGGGAGTGAGAGTCATGAGCTCCTTTGCAAAAGGTGGTGAGAGTCGAGGGTGAAAGTCGTGTGTCCCTTCCCCTCTGCAAAGTGTCGTACGACTCTCACCCCAGACTCTCATCCCCGACTCTCATCCCCTCCTATTTAGGAGTCGTGCGTCCCTTTGTAAGGGGGAGGGGAGGGTGAGCGTCGGAGATAAAAATCGTACGCTCCTTTACAGGAGGGGAGAGGGGTGAGAGTCGAGGGTGAATGTTGTGCGCTCCTTTACAGGAAGGGAGGGGAGATGAGAGTCGAGGGTGAAAGCCACCTAAAACCTTTTGGAGGTCTTTCAGGGTCATGGCTTTGACAACATATGTCAATTATTATTGTTATTTGGAAATACATACTAAGAAATACCTACTTGTTTTGATTCCTTCGCTCAAATCCGGTACTTTTTTAAACTTTTTTTTGTTAGTAACTTTTTAATGAAGGACGAGCGACGGCTAAAACTTGTTGGAAGTTACTCAGAATCATGACCTTGACAACATATGTCAAGGACATCGGAGCTGCTTCCATTATTGTTAATATTTACCGTACCTAATTTTAACATACCTTCATACAATTTTAATTTTAATATAAAATTAAAATCAAATTAGCAACGACATTGAACCTTAGTGCGAATACGGATGTAATTTATGTACATGAGACAAACAGGAGAGAGAGAGAGAGAGAGAGAGAGAGAGAGAGAGAGAGAGAGAGAGAGAGAGAGAGAGAGAGAGAGCGCAAAAGAGAAAGATTGTGGGAAAACAAGAGTATAAAAGAGAGAAAGTGAGAACAAGGAGAGAATGAGAAAATGCGAGAGAAAGATTACAAATCTTAATTTTAAATCCATACTCTCATCAAAAATTTATATTAGTGATAATATTTATAAAGTTAACAGTGCAATTCTTCTTCATGGTAGAAATATAAACGAAGGACATTATACAAATTTATTGCGAGTTAAAGGTACAAAATAGACATCCGTAAATGATTTAAAAGTTGAAATACATACTATCTTGATCAAAAAGTTCCCGGAATTCATTCAGAAAATTCAAAATACAAGTTTATTCATCAAAAGTGATATTGTCCCCTTCAAAGTACTCCCCATCGATTGCAACGCACTTATGTCAGCGCTTGATCCAGCTCTCGAAACATTTCTGGAACTTTATTGTCGGTATAGCCATCAAAGCCGTCTTCGATTTTTCCATTACCTCTTAGTAGTGGTTTTTTGACTCGATCGAACAGAAAAAAATCGCGGGGAGCCATATCGGATGAATTCGATGGCTGTTGGATGGTATTCGTTTTGTTCTTGGTCAAAAAATTTAATACAAACTTGTTGTTGCAAATTCAACTCCATTTTTAAAACTGTAAAAAATCGAAAACACGTGCAGAGGTAGATGTACTCAAGACGGCGTAACTTTTACAAATGTCAAGCTATGGCGATAAAATTTGGTGTCAATGATAGATGTGGCAACCTAACTAAAAAAACAGAACTCAAATTAACTGACTCAGAGCATCACCTGGTGGTAATTCCGGGAACTTTTTGATCAAGGTAGTAAGTTGCCTCGAAATGCTAAAAGCGCATATATATTTTTCTTAGAACAAATTTAAACAGTTGAATTATTAATAAATGGGTTAAATCAATACAATATGACTCAATATTAAATAAATACAAATTTATAAAATAACAATTTTAGAAATAATCTGTATTCATTTTTAGAAGATTTAAATTCTACATTATTACATTTTCAAAAATTTACAAAAAGCAGTTAAATCCCTAAAAAAATCTTTTAAAAAAGAAAAAATATACACCAAGTGCATAAAAAAGATATTGAATACATTCTTTTTAATAAAAAAATAGATGAATTAAATTAGCCAAGTATTTCATTATGCAAGACACATAAGATAGACTGAAAATGACTAAAATTGTCAATATATTAATATAAAATTGCCAATATTATAATATAATACTACGTTGAAATAATATATTCACAAAAGTACAATTAATGCTACTCGAGCACGTCAAGTTTTTTCTTTACTATAAGCTATTGGCAATTTTATATTAATATATTGACAATTTTAGTCATTTTCAGTCTATCTTATGTGTCTTGCATAATGAAATACTTAGCTAATTACACTTAATTCATACCCGTCTTTTATTAAGAAGAATGTATTCAATATCTTGTTTATGCACTTGACGTATATTTTTCCTTTTTTTAAAAAGGTTTTTTTAGGGATTTAACATTTTGTTTCACATGTTTTATAATATGATATAAAATTGTTCTCTTTTTATAGATTGGTGGAGACTTAAGTACATTTTGTTGGATAGAGAATAATCGATCAATTGAGTTTCGTCCTAAAGATTTGGTGCACGTTGTTTATTCATCCTTGAATTTTAAAGATGTAATGCTCGCAACTGGTAAATTAACATCTTATGATGTGATTTCGCAAGGACGTTTCCTTCAGTTTCCTCTTGGAATAGAATACGTAGGATTGGATTGTAATGGACAACGTGTAATGGGAATTTCTAATACTAAGTAAATAACAAGAACGATCATATAATTTCTATATTGTGTAATACCAACAGAGCCGACAATAAATAAAACGTATTCTTTCTAGTTCTATAGGAAACGTCGTTATAAAAGATAAATATCTGTGTTGGAAAATACCTAATTCGTGGACGTTTGAAGAAGCAGCGACAATCCCAGTGGTTTACAGCACTGTTTACTTAGCCTTATACATTTACGGAAAAATGAAAAAAGGCGATAAAATACTTATACATTCTGGTACTGGAGGCGTTGGACAAGCAGCTATTCATCTCTCTCTCCAAAAGGGATGCGAGGTGTTTACTACCGTGGGCACGAGTGATAAACGGGCTTTTATTAGAAAAATGTTTCCGACTATTTCGGATAAACATATTGGAAATTCTCGAGATACTAGTTTTGAACAAATGATAATGCAGCAAACGAAAGGTCGCGGAGTTGACATCGTGTTAAATTCATTGGCGGAAGAAAAATTAATCGCCTCCGTTCGGTGTTTAGCTCAAAATGGACGATTCTTAGAGATTGGCAAATTTGATCTTGTTTCTAATAATCCCTTAGGTATGTCTGCGTTTCAGAAAGGTATCAGTTTTTATGGAATTATATTGGAGAATATAATCACTGATGATCACAAGTATAAGTCGCTATTGTGCAAAATGGTAGCTGATGGTCTTGAAAGTGGAACAATCAGACCAATTCAAGTAAAAATTTTTCCAAAAACAGATATCGAAGAAGCTTTTAGATATATGGCGAGTGGAAAACATATAGGAAAGGTATACCTGTACTGATTAATGGTAACAAACAGAATTATTCAATTTTCTAAATGGTTTATATAAATAATAATTATATCACGCATAATATACATTCTTAATACATAATTCTTTTATAGATAATTATAAATATCCATGAAAAGAATGGACCTTTAGATAAGCACATTCTCGCGTACCGTCGCTATTATTGTCTCAGAGATAGAAGTTACATTATACTAGGAGGTCTGGGTGGATTTGGATTAGAGTTAACAGACTGGCTTATACTTCGTGGTGCTAGAAACGTTGTTCTAGTTTCGCGAAATGGAATAAAAAACGGTTACCAACGCATGAAAGTTCAACTGTGGAAGTCGTATGATGTAAACGTTCTAATCATCAAAAATATCGATGGTGCTAACGCCAAAGACTGCGAATATCTCTTACGGATTGCGGAAAAAGAAGCACCCGTAGACGCGATATTCAATCTTGGTGTAATACTGAACGACACCGTCCTCAAGAATCAAACCGCAGAGACATTTACCGAATCTTTTCAATCAAAAGCTCGAGCAACGCAAATGTTGGACAAACTTTCTAGAAAACTTTGCCATAAATTGCGGCATTTTGTAGTGTTTTCTTCCATTGTTTGCGGCAGAGGAAACGCTGGACAGACTAATTATGGCATGGCCAACTCCATCATGGAGAGAATTTGCGAAAAGAGGGTGAAGGAAGGGTTACCTGGATTGGCGATTCAGTGGGGAATTGTAGGTGACGTAGGTCTCGTCGCTGACATGCAGGAAGACAATAAGGAAGTGATTATCTGTGGCACCTTACAACAGAAGGTATCCTGCTGTCTCGACGAGCTTGATAAGTTTTTACTTCAAAACCGGCCGATTGTGAGTAGCATAGTTGTAGCTGAAAAGAAAGTAGGCTCTTCTGGACGTGGCAGTTTGATAGAAACTGTCGCAAATATTTTAGGTACGGATCTTTGTATCTTATCTTATGTATGTATATATATACTTATTATACTATTTAATTAACTGATTTATGAATAATATACCATAGTATAAGTTATAATCATTTATTTCATATTACAGACATAAGTATCATGAAAGTTTTAAGTCAAAATTCATCTCTGGCCGATCTCGGAATGGATTCCATGATGGCCATAGAGATCCAGCAAACTCTGGAACGAGAATTTGATATTTTCTTGTCAACACAAGAGATACGAAACCTCACTTTTGCGAAACTTACTAAAATGTCCGATGCAAATGTCAGTGATAATGTGCATGATGAAAAGAAACATGACACAGAAAAGCTAGACGATTTAAGCTCTCTAATTGCTGTTGTAAAAGATGAAGATTTCATTCCTCATACCTATTCCGATCTGTCTACAAAAAAACAGAAAACTACTAGCGAAGTATTTTTCATACCAGGTATCGATGGATGTGGAACTGTATTTAAACATTTAGCACCAAGAATTATATTCTCAACGACGTGTTTGCATTATAACGCAAATAATATTGATGCTACTGCAAATATAATATCACAGATGACTGATAATCTCATAAATGTACGCATTTATATTAGTAATTTATGTTATGTTGACGGAGGTTCATTTTTATTTAAGGAAAATGAAATTCGAACATTTTGAATATTTTTACAGCACATATTACCAAAACTAAAAGATGGAAAAGAATTTATAATGGTAGGATACTCTTTTGGATCTATTATCGCAATCGAATTAACGAGAAGGTTGGAAGTTATGAAATTTAAAGGCCGACTGGTTCTCATTGACGGTGCTCCTGAACAAATACGAACGATGTACAAACATTTTGATGTAAAACATTTTATATGTTCTAACGATACGAATCTTCAGATTTATGTTCTAACTCATATTATGAAACTTTATTCATTAGGAAATAGTGAAAAGGTATAATTTTCTTCTTGGACTTAAATTAAATTAATTTACAGTACATTTGTAACATAATTCTGTTTTTTTTTATGCAATATCAATTATTTTCCTATGGTCTTATATATAAAAACGAAATGTAAATTTGGTAGATTCTAATGGAACTTAAGAAATGTGAGACTTGGGATGAAAGATATAATATTTTCGCCAAACATTTCTTAGCTATGAACACGTTACTCTCACCTACAAATTTAAAAACGCTGTGTGTAACAGTTTACAAAAATTCAGTAGCTATTCAACAATACGATCCTTCCACTTTGCCACCTATTAAATCTTCCATAATGTTGCTAAAATCTACACATCCGTTGAATATGCCATCGATCGAAGAGAATTATTGTTTACACAAGGTATTTTTAACAAATTTGTGTTAATCTAGACAGAATGAATTAAATTTAATAAAACTTTTAGTTAATGATATATGTAATTATATTTAAGGTAACTCAAAATGTGATGAAAGTACATTATATTGAAGGTGATCACGTGTCGATCTTGATGAACGAAAAAGTGTCAGCTGCAATTAACGGAGAACCACCATTTATAATTTAATGTTTATATTTTATATAATTTAGTAATCTAGGGCCGGAATCCATAGTCCGATCTTAATCTCAAGCAATGTCTTAAAATGCTAATACGGCTCTTTGATTGGTTTAAGCACTAGCTTAAGACCATCTCGAGTCTTGAACAACGTCTATGGATTACGTACTAAGTTTATGTATAAGTTTGTAGTTGTAATATTTTTAACGCGAAATAAATTGGATAATGCATTCATTATACATTACACTGAAAAAAATCGTTCTTCCAATGAACGTATTCATTAGATTCAATAAACTCGTTCATTAGATGTGTACCATAAAATTTTATGATTAGAAATGATAAAATGCATTCATCATATTAACGCATTGTTTCATTAGTTAATAAAGTTTGTACATTAGATCAATAATAGAATTCATTATATGTATTAAAAAGAATGTTTTAAGGGGAAACGTTTTTAGGGTAATATTTAATTGTGTCAATGTACATATTCATTGTTACAATGAATTCTAATAGTTTTATAATTCATATTCATCCTTTTATAAAACCTAAATTATTATGAGAATAAAATTGTTCATTGAACAAATTTTAATGAATTTTTTATTGTATTTACGTACATTTTTGGTTCAGTGCACGCAGGGATGGTCATATTATCAATTAAATATTTTTCATTAAATAATTAAAAAAGTTCAAAGTAATTAAAAACCATTTAATTGACAATTGATATGGGAAGATTCAATTCAATATCGTTTAATTTACAATTGATTGAAACGAATTTAATCGAAATTTTTTAATTGACGATTGATTCGAGGAGAATTACTTGAAAGTCGTTTAATTGACGATCGATTCGAGAGGAATTAATTGAAAGTTGTTTAATTGACGATTGATTCGAGGGGAATTAATTGAAAGCCGTTTAATTGACAATTGATTTGAGGGGAATTAATTGAAAGTAGTTAAATTGACGATTGATGTGAGTGAATTTAATTGAAGGTAATTCGATTAACGATTGACTTAATTAACCAAATTAATTGAAGATTCGATTGACGATTGATTTAAGGAAGTGTTCTCGCTTTAGCATGGACTTCATAAAATCGATTTTTTTTCGTTTTTTAATATATATACTTTAAATCTTTAGGATATAAGTACTTTTAAATATTTGAGAGCTGAAATTGCCTGAAACGAACCTAGATAATCGATTTCTCTCAATTTATTCACTTTACTCGAAACAGTAACTGGAAAATAATAATAACATAGGAATTTATTCGTCATTGTAACGTCCGACGCGCATATACATACGCGCTCCGTCCGTCATTCGCAAAGAGCACATATTATACCGCGCAATTAGCATAGTTCCTGCTTTACTACAAGCAGATACTAGGTATAAAAATATACCTATGATCAGAATAAAAATCGTCAAATCTTATTATTATTCGCGTTCATATTTCTTTTTACCCTCACAACTACCTTCTTCTTTCCCATTAGAGAATCTTATGACGAAAAACGCTTCTGGGCTACGCCCATGTATCAAAGCAACATTTGATGGACTCTCTAATCCTTCTAAATCCTTAATATAAATTTCAAACAACCGAAATAGATAAATAGATAAAATTCGCGTCGAAAACAAGGATGCGTGGTGACAGCGCTGCCTTAGAGATTTAAATACGTGCCCCACTCCGTGCCGCGTATGTGTAGTGTTGATATCATAGGACGAAATTATTGCGTTTTTTGGTCTAGTTTTTTGTTTGTACTATGACATTAACACTTTTCTCAGTCATACCGTCACATCAGTACGAATTGAGGAGCGCAAGCCAAAGGACACTCGATCGATGATCATTCATATATGTGTATAAAATAAGTTCGACATTATCTTACATATTCGAAAATGTCCACGCAAAACAGTATAGCACAAATGTAAATACATTTGTTACATATTTTTAAAAGAAGGATGACTATTCTTCAATAACACTTTTAATAATTGTAGATGTACATAGATATGAGTAACTAATAAAACATTAATATTTAAGCAAAATATAAAAAATGACGGTCTGAAACAAATGGTAATAAGGATTTTCTATACAAAACTTTATAGATAACACAGCCACACAAAAAAAAATTTTTTTTTCGGCCTGGGTATCTGACTATGTATACTGTATGTTTTTGGGGTCGCTGAATCCGAATCCGAGGTCGGTTTAACCTCAGCACGTCAGGGTTTGGCCATAACCTCAAAAAACACTCCAAAATCCACTAAAATCGTTAAATCCGATACGATTTTAAATGTAAAACCCGGTAACGCAACGACTCTTCAACTGAATTCATAACCCCATAACCCTATAAACCTATAACCCCGTAACCTTACGACCCCATAACTCTGTACTGAAACAGTAAACTGGTAAATACTGAAACTGTTGAACTCTGTATAACTCTATATAACATTTGTAGGACCGTCAGCATTAGCATTACCCAATGTACACCGCGGGGAGGTTGCATGAACGGATTTTGTACATCATACAGCCCTTATAAGGGCTGTTTTGACATAAAAACAAAGCTTTAGTCTTTTTTTTGAGCTGTATCGCGTTCTCTTGTTTTCAAATGATCTGTGCAACGAAGTACGCTTTCGTTTCCAACTTTCCGTCGATTCTCTCTTTAGCGTCCAACAAAAATCTGCCATCATGTTAACGTCCCATCGTCCCTGATACCGAGTTTCCATGACCTTAATATCTTGGTGGAATCGTTCTCCCTGTTCTTCACTAAAGTCCCCAAGTTCTCAGGAAATATATCAAGGTGGGAATCAAGAAAATGGAGTTTCAAATTCATGTTACATTTAAGCTTCTGAAAGTCAGAAATTATTTTTTCAACTATTTGTTTATAATGGGGGCTTTTTTTTATTCCCGAGGAAATTTTGAGTAACTGCTTTGAAGCTTTGCTAGTGTTACGTGCCACGTAACTATTGTCGAGTCACGTTTTTAACATAAAGTTTTATATACATATTTTTCTAAATATTGCTGACAACCTTATTTCCGGCTGTTCATCTTATTTGCTTCACCTATCGTTTTTCCTTTTAACCCTTTTTTTTTATCTACTCTAAAGACCCTTTTGAAATTCAGTCTTACAAATATTATATGACCCATGTCTAAACAGATTCTTGAGTCATCGACACATTCCTCAGTTTCCTTTATCCCTTTCACGTATGTTTTTGGTGCTCGAAGGGTCTCGCGCTATTGATTAGAATTGATAGAGAACTCCATCTCCTTAGTCGAAGTAAGGATCCTTCTAGCTCCGTTCAAGTTAGTCTAATTTCATAAGCCGTACTTACAACACTCAAAACCGTCTTTTGCTCGCTAGTCTGTAAGTTTGTATCATCGTCAAATAAAGTTGTGAGTCAGAAGACAGTTGTCGAACCTTTACTTCATATTGCGAATTATCTTAATCGTAACACCAGGCGTTTTTTTCTTTCTGATTCATTGTGCTAGTGAAGGCAGTATCTCGGAACATCGTCCTGATCTGAGGGATCCCTTCTTTCAATTTTGCCTCAGACAATTTCGGAAATTTGTCAACGAGATATCCGAAGTAGGCTCTAGATTGATCGAGCGCTTTAACAAATTGCTTCATTATACCAAGCTTGATGTGAAGGGGAGGGATAAGAATTTTGCTTGGATCAACTTGGGATTCGTGGATGACATTCCGTGATCCAGGGGTAAGGGATGTTCTGGTAGGCCAATTTTTTTTCACATAATGGTTTTCACGATCGCGACTGTCCCATAAGCATAAATAACATGGAAATTTTGTGAATCCTGACTGTTGTCCAAGTAAAATCTTTAAAATCTTAAGATCACCGCAAAGTTGCCATTTATGAGTCTCGTAATCAATTTTTTGCAGTAGAATTTTCATATTCTCATATTTTTCCTGCATAACAGTGGAATGGGCAATAGGGATTGGAGCATAAACGTTTGTATTATGTAGCAAAACCGCCTTTATATTCCGCTTCGATGAATCTATGAACAGTCTCCAATCTTTGGCATCATAACTATTTGGTTTCAGTCCATTAATGAGACCTTTTACGTCCGTACAATAAACAAGGGTATGACTTTCATCTTTTGAAAAATACTATCGAAATTTCATCTCTCTGTTTCTATAAAAAGAAACTTTCGTCTTTGACTTCAACATATTCCTCTCTTTAAGGAAGGATGCTAGAAATTCTGAACCATCCTTTGGTAATCCTAAATTCCTTACAAGATCATTTAACACAACTTGTGATATCAATTTTGTAATTTTGGAGCTTCGTCTATCATCCATGTCACTATCCGTCTCGTCACTCATCTCAGATGCCGATTCTACTTCCATATCCATTATTTCGTCGACTTCCATCACGTCAGCAATTGTCTCCGGATGCACATGACTGGCATTACTAGTACTACTGTCCTCTATTGTAGCTAATACTGGAGCTACAACCGATGAAACAGTAATGTACACGATTTTGCTCTTGGTTTTACTGTTGTATCCCTGGATTTTATTGCAACAGTAAAAACAATCATCTGCACTTGAAGGGCGTTTCCAAATCGTCGGAGCGGAAAACCTGATGTCATGCTTGTTTTTTTCCTTCTTCCATCTAATGAACATTTTTCGACAACAGTTACAGATGATATTGGGAGCCCCGCTTTCAATCCCAGACCCATCCATATCGAAACCAAAAATATCTTTGTAAGTCTCTCGAATATCATCATCGATGACTTTTCGCAGAGAACTCACTTTAAACTTTGAGCATACATGACAGAACACATTGTGCTCCGATTCACAATTGTGTTCTGGCAAGATAACTTTGCTCTTTTTTCTTGTAGCCCTGAACTCTGCATTGGCCAAGTCACCAACCAATGTTGAGCTACGGTTGCTTGATGACGACGCCTGCGGGCCCGCTTTCCCACCCTGACCAGCCGCCGATACTGGGTATCCAATTCCCTGCATCGTAACGCACGTTCTTCGTGTGTCTGCCATGACGGCATGACAGCCGTGATCCAGGGACTCAGCCGGATAACAGGCTTGCACCGTTGCCCGCC